CAGACTTCTCTGGCTTACAATTGACTCTGAGTCCGTGCATGTTGAAAGCCTCAATAACAGCTGCCGCCACGAAGGGAGCTTGGAACAACAGTGTCTTGGCTGGGCCTGCGAAACTGAAATGAGCGTCATCAGAAAATGCGCCCTCCATGGTGTGGCATGTGTGCGCACAGCCTGCATCAACCTGGCCAGCGTAAGCAGCCAGTGAAGAGAAAGGAGTGCGTGGGTAAGCGAAGCTCAACACCGAATCCCAATAGATTAGCTTGAGCACTTTGCATAACTTTAGCCATGACAGAATTATATGTTATATCCACGAGTTGTTGCCCAGGACCAGAGCCCAAATAAGGAAATGCAGCGCCTTCCCCGTCTGGCGCATAGAACCAGGACCCGTCATGCGCATCTGAAATCTGAGCACGCCTCAAAGGAGAAACTCCAGCCGCTTCCAGGATAGGAGTCTGCTGCTTGATGAAGTCCCCTAGCTCCTGGGTGGTGTCGGGTGGCAGGCCACGCGCGCGCAATAGCTGCAAGAGGGACTTATCATCACATGCCGTGCGAAAGGCTATCTCCCTCACAGCCTTGTGAAAAGCCTGCGCTGCGTCAATGAATGGGATGAGCACGCTGTGGCCTCTGGCAGCAGCCAGTTGTTGAAATGCTCGCAATTTCAGGGCGGAAAAATCCGTGCCTCTACCTGGGAGACCGCCGATGTGCCGATCCCCTGCAGCACCCTATAAATTCCCCACGACTTCCGACCGAGTGATCGCTCGAAACCTCTTACCGATCTGAGATGACCCAAGAATGGAGCGGTAGTTACTTACCACAGAGGGGGGCCCAGCTTTGAATACATTCCAATAGTAAGCACCTTTCCATTGAACCGGTTCGCGGACCCGTGCCGTGCTCTTGACCAGTAGTGGGTGGAACAACTTCTGATGGCAACTGAAAACATCTTTAGAACCTCCCCGGTGATGCCGTCAGGGCCCGCAGCAGAAGCTTTGGCGGCAGTGAAAGACTGCTGCGTAGGGCATTATGTGGGTAGATCGCCAAGCGAGATGCTGAGGTCGTGCGTCACGTCCCTCGGCAACCCTGGGAGCGCAGACAACAAACCAGTGTAAATCGCTTGCAGGAGTGACAGGTGCTGCTTCTTCGCCGCTGAAGTGCTGCAGCCACCTGTTGGCAACTTCTACATGAGTACGCAGCGGCTGGCCGGCTGGGCTGAAAAGAATAAGGAGAGGCCCGGCACGTTGCTTTCTCTTGGAACAAGCCCCCATGGCCTTCAGCTTGGCGAAGGCCTCCTTGGAATCCTTCCTGGACCAAGCAGAGGCAACCTGGGTGGCTAGCTCTTCCGCATGAGCCCTGGCATCTGCGGCAACACTGTTATTGACCAAGACAGTGTGGACCTCGAGGGCCATGACCCGAGCAGCCCCACAGAGGCCGAACAGCCTGATGCGGTAGTCCCAGCACTTCCGGAGCCCAGACGTGGAGGACCCAGGTAAGACCCATTGGTGTTCCTCGAGAGCGTGCGGGGGGATCTCGTCCAAGGAGCTGCCACTGTGCCTCTCGTAGAGCCTGAAGAAGGCCATGCTGCCCCCCGGGTCGCACGCGCACCTAGACCTTTTACTGAAGTGTTGCCTACGCCCAGGAAGACGCCCAAGATGATAACATAGACCCACAAGTGCAGGTCGTAGTAAGGCCGAGGTAGACGCACATATGGAGCCCCATGAGTGCCATAATGAGCCCATGGGGCGCTGCGAGAAGGTGGGGATTTCCCGCCGCCGACGCACCCATTCCCCACGTAGTGGAGCCGCCCAAGCGTAGAAAAGAAGTGCCACCTGCATGTTCAGGCATGCTTTGCTAGCAAACCGAAAACTGCGAAGCTGTGCCGTGCGCTCATCCATGAGCTCCAGGGTGTGTGTAGTGATCCAGGATTGCCTTGGCTGCCTACCTCCTCGAATCTTGCGAACTGGAAATGCGGCTTCGAGAGATGTGCGTAGATGAGATGTCAGGTGTTCGCAATGCTGCGAGGGCCCGACTGCAAAAGGCACTTGAGTACAGCCAGCCAGGCTGCGCTTGAACATGCTGACTGCCTCCGGGTCTTGAAACTTGGCAGGATCGCACTTGACCTTGTGTGTACTCTGCGCATTGATGGGCTGCTGCGTGCACGGAATGACCATCTGAGCTGCAACAACTTGGTGGTCCACAGTAGAAATCGTGGGATCAACATTAGCGACCACTTCTTGCTGCAAAACCTTGGAACCAAAGGAGCAAGCGATGTAGTCAATGCGACGCCCGCCCTATAAACCATGGGATTTAGGGGGGGACCATGTACCTGTAGTAGCGGACCTGGACTCCATCAACGTAGCAGGTAACCAGAATCGGGAGTCACGTAAGAAATCGCGGAAAAGCTCCCCAGACTCATTTTGAACTTCAGGGGCGATAGGCCCCACGAGCTCCGATTGTACAGTGCCCGCTCTAGCATTGGCATCTAGAAGCCCGATAAGCTCGACTCCTGGTGTGCGAAGCCCCTTGACCAACTCCAGTAGCTCCTGCCGCCAGATACGACGATCAGCCAATGGGGAATTGCTGTGCGGTGCGTGGGCCACGAGAGCATCGACGGCAAAAGGCCCACAACGCAGAGCAACGTAAAGGTGCCGATGGGGCAGCCGCAAGTACTCTGCAGTGCTTAGCTTGAAGCCTGGAGCCTGGGCACACCTCCTCATTGACGTCGACCCATAGGGAGCGCCCGTACCTCTTGTTGGCGTCAGCCTCCGAATGAATAATATAATATGGCGCAACGTTGGACGCGCCAGAGCGAGGAAGTCGCGTCTCGACTGCGCCCACTAGCCAAAATCGCCGACGAGCAAAAGATGTGCTCAGCTGCTTCATACGTCCTGACAGGTATAGGCCTGTCGCTCTGAGCTTGTTGGAAATGCGTGCTTGTCGGGGGTCGAGCGATAGGACATTGGCGGCAGCCACCCACAGAGGAAAAGGTACGCCGGCTTGAAACTCATCAGCAATGCGATCCTTGGCAGAGAAACGCAGCAGCTGAAAGAGAGCATCCGCTTTCCCTCTCGAAGATTCTTCAAAGTCAGGCATGGCGTCGCCGGCTGCTGGCGGGCACTGCGCCTGCACGCGCGGCGGCTCGAAGTGGAGCCACAGCCATGCGAGCTCCTGATGTTGAGAGAGACATGCTCGCCACGAGCAATCTGGCACAGGTATACTGCCCTTGCCAGTAGAAACTAGAGTAGCGATGGTGTCGACCATTTCGTTCCAGGGATCTGAGGAACGCCCTTCCACGTGATGCCTGGAGACCTTGTTAGCAAAGTAGCTGGAAACCTGACCGGACAAGAACGGGAAGCGCCGTTTTTTATCCACCACGTGCGTCAGAGACCGTATTGGCGAGAACGTCAGAGAAACCCATAAACGCAACAGAACAGACTAAATGGTGGCCTGCCGCGCTGGTCTGTCGAGGTAGTCTGCTGCCCTGGCCACATCATGGTGTCGACACCGTGCTTTTCTCTCGGCCACGCGGGCCCCCACCCGTTGTCGCCCAGCCTACTTTTTCTGTTCCAGCCTGTCTTGTCTTTTGTTTGTCCGTCGTCGTCGTCGCGTGCCTTTCCTTTGTCGTGGTCGTCGTTTTCATTATAATCGTCCGCTGTTGCCGTTCTCGCTGTCGCCGTCGTTATCATTTTATGATTGCGGTCGTTTTTCTGATTGTTTTTTTGTTGTTGGATTCCGTGTTCGGTTGGTTTTTGTGTTATGTTTGTGGTCGTTTTCTGTCATCGTTTTTTGTCGTAATTTTCGAGATCGTTATTGACGAAGACGACGACGACGACGATGACGACGACGACGATCTGCCGTGCTTCTGTGGCGTCTGCGGTGCTCCTGTGGTCTGCCGTGCTCCTTCTTGGTTTGCCGTGCTCCTGTGTGGTCTGCCGTGCTCCTGTGCGGTCTTCCGTGCTCCTGTGGTCTGCCGTGCTCCTTTGGGGTCTGCCGTGCTCCTGTGGAGTTTGCCGTGCGAACGTGTGGTCTGCCGTGCTCCTGTGTGGTCTGGCGTGCTCCTGTATGGTCTGCCGTGCTCTTGTGTGGTTTGCCGTGCTCCTGTGTGGTCTGCCGTGCTCCCGTGGGGTCTGCCGTGTCCTGTGTGGTCTGCCGTGCTCCTGTGTGGTCTGCCGTGCTCCTGTGTGGTCTGCCGTGCTCCTTCTTGGTCTGCCGTGCTCATGTGCGGTCTGCCGTGCTCCTGTGCGGTCTTCCGTGCGAACGTGTGGACTGCCGTGCTCCTGTGTGGTCTGCCGTGCTCTTGTGGTCTGCCGTGCTCATTTGGGATTTGCCGTGCTCATGTGGGGTCTGCCGTACTCCTGTGTGGTCTGCCGTGCTCCGGTGGTCTGCCGTGCTCCTTTGGGGTCTGCCTTGCTACTGTGGGGTCTGCCGTGCTCCTGTGTGGTCTGCCGTGCTCCTGTGGTTTGCCTTGCTCCTGTGTGGTCTGCCGTGCTCCTTTTGGGTCTGCTCTGCCGTGCTCTGCCGTGCTCCTGTGGGGTCTGCCGTGCTCTTGTGGGGTCTGCCGTGCTCTTGTGTGGTCTGCCGTGCTCCTTTGTGGTCTGCCGTGCTCCTGTGTGGTCTGCCGTGCTCCTGTGTGGCCTGCCGTGCTCTTGTGTGAGCTGTGAGCTGCGGGGCCTATGAAGGCTAAAAGAGCCCGAGGCCCACGGAGCCCGTTGGCCCCAGGGCCTCAAGGGCCAACCCTAGGGGCCCCAAGGGAGCCGCCGCAGGGGAGGGCGCGAAGCGCCAAATGCGCGAAGCGCACGATTTCAAAGAAATCAGGAAGGCAGCAGGGCTGAGGCGCGCAAACCACGCCTAACATGCCCGCCTCGCTGCAACTGAGATGCGGGGCAGAAGATGCTGCCTCGCGCACGCGCCGAAAAGAGATGACGAGGGGCGGACACAACAGGAGGAGGAAGATGATGCTGCATCACTCCCCTTCGTCACCTTCAGCGCGGCGGCGCCTCTTGCGCCTGTCCTCGCGCGCCGTCTCTGCCGCGGCTGACCACTCGAGGAGGCTCGCCTCGTCTAGCCCGTAGGCGCTAAGCCAAGCCTCCCTCGAGGCCCCCGAGGGGTCAGGCGCCAAAGGCTCAGCCTCCGCCTCACCTGCGGCCGCCGCGCCGCTGGGGGGCCCGCGGCAGGCGTCGGCGGCCACGCCGCCAGGTGCATCCTCGGGGCGGACACCCAGCCACTGCAGGAAGCGCACCCTAGCGGCCATCGGCACCACGTCCTCCTTGCGCAAGCTGGGCACAGACACTCCGACCCGCTTGCTGCCGCTGTGGGGCGTGCCAGCAGGGTGCCGCCCCTGCAGCCAGCGCGCCTTCTGGTCTCGCCTGCCCTTGGGAAGTCCAGCAGACCCTGGGCACTGCTCCTTGAGCTTGGGCGCCGCGCCTGAGCGCCCGCCCAGCCGCGCGTACGCCCCGCAGTGGGTGCACGCCATCAGCTCCTGCTCGGCGGCGCCCCCCCCGCACTTGGCGTAGGCCAGGACGTGGCCGGCGACGACGAAGGCCGTCGCACCGAGGGAGACGCCACCAGCTCGTGCCGCCGAGGCCCACCCGTCGCCCGAACCCGAGTCGGACGGGCGGCTGCTGGCGGGCTCCACCACTGGCACTGCGAAGGAGACGGCCGTCCGCTCGCTGCCCTCGGGGAGGCCCTCGCAGTCCTTGACCTCGATCCCCTGCCAGATGAGGGAGGCTTGCGCCACCCAGCACGAGAGCTCCCTCACCACCTCCATCGTGCCAAAGAATTCGCGCCTGGCCACAGGGCTGGTACGGTGCAGCTCCGCCCCCGCCTTGGCCCAGCGGTCTGCATGTCCGTTGCCACGGAGGTCCGCCTCCGTGATCTTGCCATCCATCACGTCTCTGGCGGTGCAGTGGGCTGCCACTTTGGTCACCTTGAGCGTGTCCACGTCCAGCGAAGCGTAGATCCCCTCCCAGAGATGGGCGTTGGGCTTGTTGGCTGCCGTCGCGTACTTCTTGCCCAACGTGAGGCAGCTGACCGTGGACGCACAATCAATGAGGATCTCGTCAACGCTCGGGCCCAGGAAGCGAGACAGCATCCAGACCGCGAAATCCTCGCCGTCCTTCGCCGTCTGGAAAGGGCAGAGGTCCTGGCGCACGCTGCCGTACACCGCGCACTCCATGTTGCCGTCGGAGTCGCACTGCACGATGCTCCAGCCCGCACGCCGCAGGCTCTCGTGCTCGGGGTCGAGCGCCGACCCATCCAGGTAGAGCCGCCCCCCGAGGAGACCGTCAGCGGGGCGATTGCACCACATGACTGCCATGGCATCCGACCTCGGGGCGGCCCTCGGGGGCTGTGGGAGCCAGCAGCGCGCGAAACATTCACCCGCCTCCTCACCGCGACCACGTGCACGATGCGCGCAGCGCCGAAGGCGGTCGGAGGTAGAGTCACGCCTCGGCCCCGCAAGGACAGGACACTCGAACAGCCTGTGCCAGAGGCTGCCGCGGGGGGCCTCACAGGCACAGCAGCGAGCGTGCTCCCTCTCTCCCGCCGAGTGCAGACGGGTCTGGGGCCAGTGGGCGTTGGAAAGGAAACTCACCACCGCCGCCTTCTCCCTGGGGCTGAGCTTGCTGCCAGGCCCGAGGACCTCCGCGAAGGCCTCCCAGAACAGGGGCGACTGAGGGAGCGCACCGTGGCCGAGGCGGGCCAGCTCCGACTTGTCCGACGCACGCCGCGCCCCTGCCGCAGCCAGCAGGCCCAGCTCGCGCGGCCCCATCATGCGCAGGTCCAGGATATGGCCGTCGTCGGTGGCGAGGCGGGTGCCTTGAACGAGCCTCCAGCCCACCCTGGTGAGCGAGAGGGCCAGGGCATCCACAGGCGTGCGGCAGTGCGCCCATGGGGCTGCTGCTCCCGCGTGCCTCTGCACTGCCTCCTGCAAGGCCGTCTCGAACATACGCAGCGGGACCTCCCCCGACTGGAGGAGACTGGCCGCCATCTGCACCGCGGCACGAAGCAGCGCGGGGCTCGGGTCGAGGTCGATGGACTTCATGACCTCCACCACTCTGAGTCTCAGCCCGAGCGAGGCGCCCTTAGGGAACTTCCCAGCCGAGCGCGCCGCCGCCAAGCGCCACGAATGAAGCTCCCTATCAGGTACACCAGTCACAGTGCGCCCCCACAGCATCGCCGCGGTGGGCCCAGCACGGTGGACCATCTCGGTCGCCGCGCCAGCTGAGCGAAGCACCCCTAGCCTGCGTCCTCGGCGAAGGCCGCCGACCGCACGCACAGCTCCTTCATGCACTCCACGACGAGTGATGTTGGCGTCGGTGCCGAGGTTCCTCGCCTGAAGTCCCCTCTTGAAGGTCAAGCCATGTACCGCCCAAGCCTCGGAGAGCTCCTTGGCGAGCTGCGGCGACGAGGCCAGGAAGACCGACTTACTCTCGTTGAGTGGGAGGTGCTGCTCACGCAGCTGGCGGACCACTTCACAACTGGCGGCCACCATCTGCTGCTTCACGAGTCGGGCCGTGCCGACCGCCTGGAGCGAGATGTCGTCGACGACATTCCTCGGCGTGACCAAAGGGCTCGTCGCCCCCGCGGCCAGGAGGGCTCCCAGTACTGGGAGCTTCGCAACTGCTGTCGCACACGCACACCCAGCCAACACCGTACCAGTAGTGCCGAAGGCGGGGGAGGCCATGCCCGCCGCTAGGATCATCCTAGGGGCCTGGTAGGAGGTGAGGAGGCCGCGCAGCAACCTGAGGTTGAACCCGAAACGTACAGCATTCGCCCAGAGAACATCGTGCCGCACGTGCTCGTAGAACTTGCTGATGTCCAGGAAGAGGCTCGCGGCTTCGAACTGCAAGTTCGACTTCGCGAACCCCGCGAAACAGTTGTGCAGCCATCCAGCCCGCTCACAGTCCCGCCCGTCACGTCCCCAGAAGAAGGGGAAGTTGTGGTCAGCCTCCCAGCGTGCACAGCACGGTTGGCGGAGGCGCGACCAGAGCCGCAGGACCAGCGGCAGCAGCGCAATGGGCCTTACCCCACCATCTGCCTTCGGGATGAACACCATCAGGGAGACCTGCCCGTTGATGGATGCAGGGGCTTCGTCGTAGGCCGCCAGGATGTCCAGGATGCGCTGCTGCAGCGCCAAGGGCAGAAGGAGGATCTGCCGAGGGTGCAGGGAGTCGCACCCGAGGCCCACCGAGGGGCTGTAGCGTTTGCAGGCTGCCTGGAGCTGCTCCAGCGAGATGGGGGGCAGCCGCCACTCGCCGACGTCCCAGCTGCTGGCCCCTGCGCCCAAGGCAAACCCGTCCTGGAGCCACAGCTTCTGCCAGACCCTCGTGAGCTCTCCAATCGCTGCCATCCCAACAAGCCTCCTGCCCGAGTCAGCGTCCCTGACCGTCGGCGGGGGCGTCGCCTTCGAGAAGCGGTGGGCCAGGCGACCGCCCTTCTCGACCGCTGTCTGGGCCCAGTTGCGCCAGGCCTGGGCGCTTTGAGCCGCGTCGCGGCGCTGCGATGCACTGAGCAGCCCTTGGAGGTCCCGAACTGCATCAGGGCTGCCGAGGACGCCCGCCTGGAACACCAGGTCGCCCAGCCGATCAGGAGCAGCGCCAGGGAGAGCCTGACCGACCGAGTCGTCCGCCTCCTGCACCGCCTCCAGCAAGAGCTGCGCCCTGAGCTCGGCCTGGTGCCCGTACCAGTCCGCATGCCGAGGGTGCCATCGGCCAGAACTCTCCGCGCGCACCCGCTGGAGGGCCACGTCAAGGCAACTTCTTAAGCGGTGCGTGAGGAGGCTGAACCTGAACCTGGCATCCCGCCTGACAAGGGCGCTGAGAGGCTTGAGGGTCAGCCTGGGCCCCTCTCCTCTGCCGAGATGACGGGCCAAGTCTGCCTGGCCGATGCCGTGGATGCCGACCAGGGTGCCTTCGGCAGCTGCCGCCCACTCGCTGAAGGCGACGGAGAGGTTGGTCGGGGCAGAGCCTGCGTCCCAGGACCACGAGACATCCCTGGGCGTGACTTGTCCCTTCTTGCCAACCGAGTAGCACACAATCTCCGCGTCCTCGTGCGCCCGAAGGCGCTCAGGGGCAACTTCGGGGAAGCGGGCGGGCCTGGACGGAACCTCCACCAACGCATCCGCCCGAACATCCTGTAGGCGAAGTAGGACAGGGCGATGGGGGTGCAGACCGAAGCCCTCGAGCGTGGTGGCGCAGGAGGCCGTGCAGGCTGCCAGCGCCGCAGAAGCCACAAACCAGTCGTAGAGGTGGTCACAGCCCTCGGCATGGCACGTCGCCTCCGAGGGCCCCAGGACGTGCCCCCGCACCGCCGCCGGCCACCCCAACTCCTCCAGGGGCTCGGGCTCCATGTTGAAGTCCGCTTGGAGGACCCACGGGATGTCGGCCGAGGAGCCCGTCACCTCCGAGATGGCCGAAAACATGTCCAGGTTGGTGCCTCGAGGGCCCAGAGAGTGTTGAAAATAACCAGCGAGCACCAGGAGCCGAAGGCCCGAAGCGGCGGCCACCTCCACTCCGATGAGGCGGTGCCGCAATGCCGAGGGCAGCGGGTACGCAGACTCGTCGGCCTGCAAGCCGTCCCGCACCAGGATCGCCACGCCGCCTGAGGTCGCCTGAGGCCCCTGCTTCTCCGTCAACGCTGCCTCGTGGAGGAAGGCCGCGTACCCCAGGCCGCGGGCCTGAGCCGCCGCACTGGGCAGGCGCCCATGCGGGAGCCTCGTCTCCTGGAGCGCCACAACGTCGGGCCAGTAGTCGTACGCCTTGAAGAAGGCTTCAATGACCTCAATGCTCCTGCTCCAAGTATTGCCATTGCAGCCGAGCAAGACGAGGCCAGCTCGGAGCTGCTGGCCTCCTGCCCTGTCAACCAGCTGCGCCTTGCCGATGACGGCAGCCTCGCGAGCAGCGCGCTCTTCAGCGCCAGACTCCAAGCCCGCCAAGCCCCTGGTCGCGGGGCCCTCCGCCCCCACCAGGACTGGAGGGGGGACCTGGCCCCTCGCTCCAGCGCTCCTAGACGGCGTCGGCGGGCCGTTCGCCAGCACGGGAGGCGGCCGTCGCTGAGGAGGCGGCCGTCCCTCCGCCCCTCTGGTTGCCAGCGGGGGGTGCGCCTGCCCATCGCCGTCGGGGCCAAGAGCTGCGACGTCGTGGGGCTGAATCCCACCGCTCTTGGCCCCTGACTGGCCGTCGGGGGGCCACCTCGGTGTTCCCGACCGCGCCAGCTGGCTACATCGGGCAAGGGCCTTCGGCGCCGCCCGCCGCCTGCGAGGGGCTCGGACGCGCCAGCGGCCGTCGCAGCGCCTCCTCCACCTGTCCCAGCAGCTGGGCCCGCGTACTGTGGATGCTTGCCACTCCAACCCCCCTGCATCACCCACGGCGCGGCCCGTGCCCAGCAGCAGGAGCCACGACAGCAGCCGCAGCCACCAAGGGGTCGCCGTCCGAGATGGCCGCCCCTTGCTCAGCGAGGGCCTTGGCGAGGCAGGGCTCCACCTGGGGCCACGCACCCAGGGTCGCTCCGTGCTGGCCACGGGCCGCTGCGGGCCCGTAGGGTCCGTCCGCTGGCCTGGCCCGTGGGGCTGGAGGCCCAGCCGCGGTCGGCCCTGCCTGCGGGGCGCCAGCGGGGGGGGCGGCCACGGGCCCACCTGAGGACACGATGTCGAGCGGCATGTCATCGTCCTCAGACGCGAGGCCGTCGTCGCCGACGCTGTCGCCCCAGCGCTTCCTGGCCGAGCTGCTGCGGGGCCTGAGCACATCAGCGACCGCTTCCTTCTGCGTGTTGAGAATCTCGACGATCTCCGAGAACCTGGGGGGCAGCTCTGCACCGTGCTGCTTGAGGAGGTCCGACAGGGCCCCAACCTGAGTGAGCAGCCCCTGGACGGCGTCCCCCAGCGGGCTCGCCACGCCACCGACTGCCGCGTTGGCCCTCTGGATCGCCTGCTGCGTGACCTTGGCTCTGGTCTCTTCCAGCTCAGCAATCTGCCCCGTGACCTCATCGACTCCCAACTCGGCCGCCGAAAGCAGCTCCTGCTTCTCCGCGATGAGCTCACGCAGCTCGGACGCCTGCAGCTGGAGCTTCTCTCTCTTGGTACGTGCTGTGGCCAGCTGACGCTCGACCTTCTGGATGGCGTTGGCCTCGATGTGGAAAACCGAGTGGGGCGGGCGCTCCGTCCGCTGGGCCTCCTGGACGGACCGCTCGAGGGCGGCGACCTGGTCCTTGCCCTGCTGGAGGGCCTGCTCCGCTTCGCGCTGGAAGTCCTCCGAGAGCCCGAGCGCCGCGGCCACCTGGAGCCTGTCGACACGCTCCTTGGCCGCCTCGAGCTGCGCCTGGAGCTCTTCGTACTGAGACTTGGCCTCTCCCCAGGGCCGCGCACGCCGTGCCCTGCTGTTGGGGGCGCTGCTGGGTGCGGTGCTCCCTGAGAGGGCCCGCTGGGAGGCCGAGCGCCTCGCAGCGCGCTGCTCGGCTCTTCCCCTGGGCTGCTGCACGAACCCGTCGGCGTCCACCCGAGGGGAAACCTTGTCGGAGCGGTACTCCTTCGTCAATGGGGGAGCACTGGTGCCGCACGCCTTGCACGTCCACCGCTTGTCACACCAATTCCAAGCGTTACAGCCACGCTTAGCACACAACCAGTACGCCCTCCGAGCGAGCCCCGAGGCGACCTCCGACATGGCGGCTCACCGAGGGACTGGCCGCAGATCGGCCGAAACACTCGGCCCTGCAGGAACGAAGAAGCACAAATTTGGCGAAGCTTCTGGCTCGTGGCAGAGCGCCCCTCGCGCTCAAGAACGCCCGACGGACTCGCGGTCGTCGGGTGCGCCATGGCCTTGAGCCAAAATGGCTACGGACCCGTGCTCTTGTGTGGTCTGCCGTGCTCCTGTTGGTCTGCCGTGCTCTTCTGTGGTCTGCCGTGCTCCTATGGGGTCTGCCGTTGTTCGGCCGTCTTGAGGGCACTCTTAGGGCATAGTCTGCCGTGCTCCTCGTCTTGGTCTGCCGTGCTCCTCGTCTTGGTCATCCTTTCCGTCGTCTTGAGGGCGCTCTTGGTGCCTGGTCTGCCGTGCTCCTCGTCTTGGTCTGCCGTGCTCCTCTCGGTTCCTAAGCCTGGTCTGCCGTGCTCCTCGTCTTGGTCTGCCGTGCTCCTCTCGGTTCCTACGCGCGGTCTGCCGTGCTCCTGTGGGGAGCACGGCAGACCACAGGAGCACGGCAGACCACACAGGAGCACGGCAGACCACACCTCGATTTTTTGAGGATGTCTCGAGCGAAATGGCCGTGGTCTGCCGTGCTCCACACGGGAGCACGGCAGACCACCTGCTCATTTTCTGAGGACGTCCCGAGCGAAAACGTCATTTTTGACATAAGAGGTTCTAAAACACCTCTGTCGGCATCTCATTTTTTCGAGGATGTCTCGAGCGAAACGCTCATTTTTCATGCATAACAAAAATTTTTGATATTTTTCAACATCCCGATTTTTTGAGGATGTCTCGAGCGAAACCGTCATTTTTGACATAAGACGTCTTAAACGATAGCCTCCAACACCTCGATTTTTCGAGGATGTCTCGAGCGAAATGGCCATTTTGGGGAACCTGACCGGACAAGAACGGGAAGCGCCGTTTTTTATCCACCACGTGCGTCAGAGACCGTATTGGCGAGAACGTCAGAGAAACCCATAAACGCAACAGAACAGACTAAATGGTGGCCTGCCGCGCTGGTCTGTCGAGGTAGTCTGCTGCCCTGGCCACATCATGGTGTCGACACCGTGCTTTTCTCTCGGCCACGCGGGCCCCCACCCGTTGTCGCCCAGCCTACTTTTTCTGTTCCAGCCTGTCTTGTCTTTTGTTTGTCCGTCGTCGTCGTCGCGTGCCTTTCCTTTGTCGTGGTCGTCGTTTTCATTATAATCGTCCGCTGTTGCCGTTCTCGCTGTCGCCGTCGTTATCATTTTATGATTGCGGTCGTTTTTCTGATTGTTTTTTTGTTGTTGGATTCCGTGTTCGGTTGGTTTTTGTGTTATGTTTGTGGTCGTTTTCTGTCATCGTTTTTTGTCGTAATTTTCGAGATCGTTATTGACGAAGACGACGACGACGACGATGACGACGACGACGATCTGCCGTGCTTCTGTGGCGTCTGCGGTGCTCCTGTGGTCTGCCGTGCTCCTTCTTGGTTTGCCGTGCTCCTGTGTGGTCTGCCGTGCTCCTGTGCGGTCTTCCGTGCTCCTGTGGTCTGCCGTGCTCCTTTGGGGTCTGCCGTGCTCCTGTGGGGTTCTGCCGTGCGAACGTGTGGTCTGCCGTGCTCCTGTGTGGTCTGGCGTGCTCCTGTATGGTCTGCCGTGCTCTTGTGTGGTTTGCCGTGCTCCTGTGTGGTCTGCCGTGCTCCCGTGGGGTCTGCCGTGTCCTGTGTGGTCTGCCGTGCTCCTGTGTGGTCTGCCGTGCTCCTGTGTGGTCTGCCGTGCTCCTTCTTGGTCTGCCGTGCTCATGTGCGGTCTGCCGTGCTCCTGTGCGGTCTGCCGTGCGAACGTGTGGACTGCCGTGCTCATTTGGGGTCTGCCTTGCTCCTTTGTGGTTTGCCGCGCTCCTGTGTGGTCTGCCGTGCTCCTGTGTGGTCAGCAGACCCAGGGCTGAGGGAAGGCATCCTCAAAAAATCGCAAAGTGGTCTGCCGTGCTCCTGTGTGGTCTGCCTTGCTCCTGGGGGGCAAACCAGCAACACGTCAAGAAGTTACCCAGGGGACCAATCAGCAACACGTCAAGAAGTTATCCTGGGGGGCAAACCAGCAACACGTCAAGAAGTTATCCCGAAGGGGCAAACCAGCAACACGTCAAGAAGGTGCTGAGGGGGGCAAACCAGCAACACGTCAAGAAGTTATCCTGGGGGGCAAACCAGCAACACGTCAAGAAGTTATCCTGGGGGGGGCAAACCAGCAACACGTCAAGAAGTTATCCTGAGGGGGCAAACCAGCCACAGGTCCAAAAGATGCTGAGGGGGGCAAACCAGCAACACGTGAAGAAGTTATCCTGACGGGGCAAACCAGCAACACGTCAAAGGTTATCCTGAGGGGGGCAAACGAGCAACACGCCAAGAAGGTGCTGAGGTGGTCGACCACCAACACTTCAATAAGTTACCCTGAGGCAAAACCAGCCACTCGCCAAGAAGTCATCCTGAGGGGGCAAACCAGCAACACGTCAAGAAGGTGCTGAGGGGACAAACCAGCAACACGTCAAGAAGGTATCCTGGGGGGGGCAAACCAGCAACACGTCAATGCGGTATCCCGAGGGGACCAAACCAGCAACAACACTGCCGTGCTTCTTTGGTGTCTGCCGTGCTCCTTTGGGGTCTGCCGTGCTCCTGTGGTCTGCCTTGCTCCTGTGTAATCCTCCGTTCTCCTGTGGTCTGCCGTGCTCGTGCGTGGTCTGCCGTGCTTATGCGTGTTCTGCTGTAGTCCTGTATGGTATGCCGTGCTCCTGTGGAGTTTGCCGTGATCCTGTCCGTTATGCCGTGCTCTGTTGTGTTGTGTGCGTTCTGCTGTACTTCAGTATGTTCCGCCGTGGTCTGCCGTGCTCCTGTGTGGTCTGCCGTGCTCCTGTGTGGCCTGCCGTGCTCTTGTGTGGTCTGCCGTGCTCCGGTTGGTCTGCCGTGCTCTTCTGTGGTCTGCCGTGATCCTATGGGGTCTGCCGTTGTTCGGCCGTCTTGAGGGCACTCTTCCTGCATAGTCTGCCGTGCTCCTCGTCTTGGTCTGCCGTGCTCCTCGTCTTGGTCATCCTTTCCGTCGTCTTGAGGGCGCTCTTGGTGCCTGGTCTGCCGTGCTCCTCGTCTTGGTCTGCCGTGCTCCTCTCGGTTCCTAAGCCTGGTCCGCCGTGCTCCTCGTCTTGGTCTGCCGTGCTCCTCTCGGTTCCTACGCGCGGTCTGCCGTGCTCCTGTAAGGAGCACGGCAGACCACAGGAGCAAGGCAGACCACACAGGAGCACGGCAGACCACACCTCGATTTTTTGAGGATGTCTCGAGCGAAATGGCCGTGGTCTGCCGTGCTCCACACGGGAGCACGGCAGACCACCTGCTCATTTTCTGAGGACGTCCCGAGCGAAAACGTCATTTTTGACATAAAAGGTTCTAAAACACCTCTGTCGGCATCTCATTTTTTCGAGGATGTCTCGAGCGAAACGCTCATTTTTCATGCATAACAAAAATTTTTGATATTTTTCAACATCCCGATTTTTTGAGGATGTCTCGAGCGAAACCGTCATTTTTGACATAAGACGTCTTAAACGATAGCCTCCAACACCTCGATTTTTCGAGGATGTCTCGAGCGAAATGGCCATTTTGGGGAATCCGCCAATGAAAAACGCCGTGCGATCCCGCAACCCATAGATATAAAGATATATATATATATATATATATATATTTACTCAAGGATTCAGCCAGAACGTCCCGCTTGCTTCTCGTACCTCGAAGACGCTTCCCGTCATCCGCCAACGAAAACCCCGTGCAATCCCGCAACCCATAGATATAAAGATATATATATATATATATATATATATATTTACTCAAGGATTCAGCCAGAACGTCCCGCTTGCTTCTCGTACCTCGAAGACGCTTCCCGTCACCTTGAGCAGGCTGTCCAGGAGAGACCGTTGCGTAGCCAAACAAACAACGCCCAGGAGCTCCTCCTCTAGCAATGCGTAATACATCGGAATTGTCGCAGTAGAACTCTATAGCAAGTTCCCTGGATAAGCTGGAGAACTGGGGCTGCAGGAACCAAGCAAGAGCCCATTGAGCGCCCAATATCTCTGAGGCCAGGGAGAGATGGTGGATGGGGGACCCCTCGAGGTCGAGAAGACCGCCCTCGAAGCCCAAGAAAGCAGATTGGCCCTGGATGTCCCGAGCCAGGACAGCGAAGGCCCAAGCGGGCCTGCCCCTCCCGCTGCCTCCTGAACCGTCCGTGTACACTTGGAGAGCTTCAAGGTTCCCGAGATCCTCCCATGGACAGAGGCTTGGGAGGGCCTGAATGGTAGATGAGTGCCAGTACTTAGCCCAATACCAGTAACAACTGTTGAGCGGTCTCGGCCAAGTAACAAAGAGCTGTCGCCGAACATTCCCAACGTCTGGCGTGCGACTAGTGGCGCAACCTCGAACTGAGGCGGTGGTGTTTTGCCCCGAACTGCGCTGAGGTGGGGATGAGGGTTGGGCCCCGTCTCCACCTGCATCCTCGAGAGGACGTAGCGCAGGCGGGGCTAGCGAAAAACTGCCGCAGCTGCTTCGTCTGCAACTGTCTGCTGGGTCGGCACGTCGAACTGCTGCACCAAACGGTCCCCCTCCTTGAGCGGCGCGTCCAGCATGATTGTAGCATCTTCGTCCTCGTGGGGTAGGCAAAGTGCCGTTGCGGGCGGCATCTCTGCACCTGGGTCCGCCTGTGAGATGGACCTCGCGTTTGCCTTGGTGCGTGGCGAAGATGCAAGTGCTTCTGCAAGTTGTCGCTGTCCAGGCTGCCTTGCTGCCATCTCGAGCTGTCGAATGGCCGCTGAGACCTTGCCGCCTGGACCACCAGCTGGCTTGATCACACCGCTCTTGCCGATGTGGGTGGTGGGTGCTCTGGCTGCTGCTGTCGTCGCTGCCGTGGGTGCTCTGCCCGCAGCCGCCGTGGCATTGACTGG